CGATAAAGTAAGGCCCGAAAAAGACTCGTACCGGCCCGACTCGATAAAAACAAGCCCGAAAAAAAATGCCTCGACCGTCGGCCCGACTCGAAAACGGCAACCCTAATCGGGAGTACCGGAAAATACCGACTCAGTGTTTTTGGGGTGTCGAATACTAATTTTTACAGGCAAACTTTGTTCTAAAATTAATTTTCTTTAATTTCCGTCAGTATTTTGTATTTTTTAAATTTATTTACCTCAATTCTTTTTTAATAATTTTATCATTACTACAATAACATTTATTATTAATTTCATCTTCTCCATTTTTACAATCCTCAATTCCATTACAAAAAGTTAAATGCTTAAAAATTAAAAAAATAATTTTTTTATTTGTTAAAAAACTAAACAGAAATACATCCACTATTATCTGAACAGCGATGTTGGGGGTGCTTATTTGAATCTATTTTTGGAAAGAAATTAATTAAATTAAGAAATATTTTTAATTTACCCAAGAAACAAGCAAATGTTTGACAAATTGTGGGAAGTAATTCTGAACAATTACGAAGTCTCCAACCGAACTATAAAAAATATTTTTAAATTTTATTCATTAGTTTAAGTCAATCAAAAATACTCCCCATTAAAGCTGAAAATATTATACCTCATAATGGGGGTATCTTAAATTAGGTATATCGTTTAGGCAGCACACGAATCCAGTAGCCAACCAATTTTTATGACCCTTTAGATTACAATTGAGCGGAATCGGGATCCCGGTCGGGATCGGGCGGGATTACCCCAGTTTTTTGAATCCCGATCCCGATTTTAGCCAGTCCAGATCCCGAGCCAGGATCGGGACCGTGATCATTAATCTAAAATCCTGTTCCCGCTCGATTCTACTTTAAATAAAGGTTTGACTAGTATTGGGAGTATCTTATAAGAAAGTCTTATTTTGGAGCTATTTTATGTGGATGGCTTATACAGGGAGTATCTTATAGGGAGGTTTGGATGTATTTAAATTATTTAATAGATAACATTTTCTTTATCCGAAAGCATTGAATTCCAAGAAATACATAAAATATTCTCTTTATCATTCAAAAATTCTTCCAATTGTGGCTGTAATAATGCCCAATTTGGACTATAAAAATAAATAAAATTTAAGCAATTTAATTTAAATTTACTTGTATATATTAATTGAATAATTAGAATTAAATTTAAAAATTCTGTTCGGCAATTCTTTTGAATTATTTAAACTAATATACCTAAAAAATTTTGATTTAAATAAATTAATAGACAGTCGAACCTCTTTCTTGGATACCCCCAATATAAGAAGACCTTATTTCAAAATGCCCTCTATTATAAGATAATACAATAAACCTCTATTTAAGATTTTTATAATTTAGCTGTCCGAAGAGTGGAGAGAGCTGTCTAAGCAATACCTCCAATTTAATATACCCTTCATTATAAGATACCCTGAATTTAAATAACCCTTGTTATAAGAGAGAGGGAGAAATTCTGGTTAACATTGATTGGGAAAAGCTTCCTAAACAATAACTCCCTATTTTAGCTACACCTCTATTTAAGATACCTCTCCTTATAAGCATCAATTTTTCCAACCCTGATGGGGTATCTAAAAATGAGATTCAACTGTTTTAAAAAGAATTACCAAGATGTCCAAAATTCAAAAGACCCATTAAATTCTTTATTTAATGATCTACTCAAATCTTTATACAACAAAAAATTATCCAAAAATAAAGAATTGCTTGAATTATTTCTTTAAAAATTAAATTAAAATTAATTTTAAAAATAAAATTAACTCAAAATTTTGACAAAATTCATTAGCTTCTTTCCAATTAAATTTTTTAAAAATTTTTTTAAAGCATCCATTACCAACAGAATGCCAATTTTCTAGGTTAAAATTTAGAAAAAAATTTTTTTTAATATTTTTTACCTTTCGGTTCTGGGCAAAATAAATTTAAATTGCCAATATTAAAGTTAAATTCGTCTTCAGAGTTAATTAAATAAATTAAAACAAATAAAAGAATATTAAATAATAAATTATTAAAAATGTTTAGAAAAGGCATTTTTTGAGATCCTTAAAAACTTAAATTTATTTTTTATTTTTAGTTTAAAGTCGAAAATATATATCCCCCTTGCACCCATTCCTTATGTAAACTCTTACTTTAACAACAGATTTTCTCTATACAAGATTTTTATGTAAGCGAGATTTAATAATTATTATTAGGGCTGTCCAAAACATGCAAATGCATGTTTTGTATGCGGATATGCCTTGAGAGAGAAGCACAAAAATGGTGTTTTTGCATTGGTAGGAGCAATTTAGAACCCGGTTATTAATGCATATATTTTTGCATATTTCGCTTGGCGGTTTTCCGTGCTTGGACAGCCCTAATAATTATTTGGTGTTCGTTATAAATAAAATATGTATGTGCTGGCAAAATATCCGATATTTACATAAAACATAATTGAAAAGAATTAATTTAAAGATTTATTTTGAATATAATCAAAAATTTTTATTAAAAATATCAAAAATAATCAAAAAAATTTTCAATTTTAATTTTAAAATAATAATAATGGAAAAAGGACAAAATAAACAGAAATTTTTTACTATTTAAAAATTAATTAAGAATGAAAGGAAAATTACAAAAATTGATTTTTTATAAAATTATTTTTGTTCTTTTTCCTATCAAATAATCAAAAAAAAGTATATTTATTTAATATAAATAAATAGGTGCGGACATTAAAAAAGAATTTTTATTTTTATTTATTTTTAAACCTTTCCAAAAATTAAAAAGTCTATCAAAACTTTTAAAAACTTTTAATTAATTGATTAAAGAGAGAATTGAGAGAAAAGGAATTTTATTTCCTTTTTCAGTAAAAAATTGTTAAAAACAAAAACAATTTTTTTAATTTATTTGATAATTTTTGTTTTGTTCCCTTCCCCCTTTTTTTATTTTTTAAAAAGTTTTCTTCTATTTTTCCTGGCATTTTTATTCTATCAAAAAATTAAATTTCTTAATAAAATGTGAAATGAGTTCATTTTCTATGAAATTTTACAAAATATTCTCTAGATATTGAGGTGCGAGTTTGAGAACAATCCCCCCCCCCCTCCCCCCACCACATTAAATTTCATTAAAAAAGATTAATTGGGATTCTATAAATCCCGTATTTCCTCTAAGATAGCCCCCCCCATTTAAAATGATCGACCCTCCTCTCTCTAAAATCGACCTCCTCTAAAAACTAATAAATTGAAATTAAACTTTTTTATTATTATTTATAATTTGATAAAAAACAATTTTCCCAAAATTATAAGGATTAAATAAAGCTGTCTATTAAGGTAATTTGGGAGTGAGTCAATAAATTGGGATATGTCAAAAGTGACTAGGAGTCGACTAAAATGATCGAGGGTATAATTGAGCATATGTTGAGGAATAAATTTATATTGACAAGCAGTCTGAACGAAAAATTAGCCTAAATATCCCGAAAATATTTCCAAAAATCTAAGTCAATTAAAAAACAAAATTATTGTAATTTAACAATAATTTTAACAACTAATTTGTTTAAAATACAGTAATGTTTAATTATAATTAAAAATACTAAAATAATTTAAAAACAGGTTTACCAAATGTTTTGCTAACAAAATAAATAAATATTTTCTTTTAAAATAAATGAAGTGTATTATTTTATTATTAATTTACATTTCCTCCTCTGTTTAAATATTTAATTTTTTTATTTTTATTTTCAAGTAAATCACACTGTAAAATGCACACACTTGTGTTGAACAAAAAAAAATTTTTTTTTAAATTAAAAAAAATTCCCCAATTAAAAAATTAATTTTTAAGCTATAACATAAATTATATAATTGTAATAAAAAAAATAAGAATTATTTTTTTTAATTTTTAGTTGAGACAATTTTTGCAAATGTTAATTATTTAAATGATTTATTATACAAATTATTTTGGTATATGCAAAATATTAGAAAGATTTAATGACATTAATTAATTATATATAAAAGTTTATATATTTATATAATAAATTATTGTTGAAATATTTAGAAAAATATTTTGTCTATATACAGTAGAGAGAGAAAAAATAAGAATTTTTTAGGTCTGGACCAAGGCCTAGGTTTTTCCTGTACCCAAAGTCCACGCCCAGGCATTTTTTGACCTTCCTGGTTTTTTCTGGACTACAAGCCTAGGACCGGCCCAGATCAATAAATCAAACCTGAAACCCAGGAACAGGACCAGGCTTTTCAAAAATTCCGATCTCTAATATACAATATGCACTAGAATTCAAAGAAAAATATGTATTTATGCTTTTTTAAATAAAATTTTTTGAACCGATAATATTTTACTTGGATTTTAGAATATTTGAGACAAAATTAATTCAAAAAAGAATATTTAGACACAAAATTTTTTGTATTTTTTCTGCCATTTATTTTTCCAAAAATCCAATTTTTGTATAGGTATAGATAAACTTTTGCATCGAAAAAAAATTGAAGCAGTTTGGGAAATATTTTAATAAGTACTTGGGGTTATTTTTAAAACTATAGCTTATTAGAAAGCACTTTTCACTTAATAAGTACATAAAAATAATTCATGTTATCTAAACGAATTTTTTTCGAGATAAAAAATTTTTAAAGAAATTTTCAGTCAGTGTAGATAAACTACCCCAGTGTTTACGAGTAATAAATAAATGGTAAGGTTTCAGGCAGAAAAATATTAGTTATTTGGTCATGATTTCTTGTAGAATGATCGAATCAAATCGAAAAATGCTACAGATGTTGAGAATCTTCAAATTATATCTAATTTCTGTAATATTTATTGATAACAGATACTGAAACGACTGAAATGAAATGGCCTTACCGTAATTTATTTGTCCTGCGCCATAATGGGCTCGCGCCGGGACAACCTACTAGAGTCACGTTTTACCTAATTTTGTCCCTTTCGTCTGTCTTTCACTTTTAAATCGTATTTTACTTTTCTTCTTTTTAGTTCATATTTAACCAATTTTTATCAAAATGTCCGAAAATCCACAACAAAATGGTGTTGGTCCCAGAAATCGTCGAATTTCTTTGGGTTCACCCAAAGATTTGAAAGAAGTGCAATTTTTTGAGGATGAGGAAATTCCAGATGTTCCTCCTAAAGGTGCACGTGTTCGGGTAATTTATATTTATTTGAATTATTTTTTTGATTTTTTAAAGGTTTGTTATGCTGGCGTTTGTCTCACTGATAAAGAGGTTTCCAACACTAAACAAGCACGTATCATTAATGGCATCAAAGATACAAGTTTGTTTCCTGGTTACGAGATCAGTGGGGTTATTGACGAGTTTGGACCTCAGGCGAATGCGGAAGAGTATGACCTAAAGAAAAACGATAAAGTTATTGTTTGGCCAACTGACGAGGTTTTTACGAAATTTTAAAGAAATAAGGAACAGGAGATTGGTATAATAAGACCATTTTAAGAGCATTTTTCTGCTCACTTTTCAGATTGGTCCTGCTACCTGTGAAATGGGAAAAGGATAAAATTTGGGAGGAGACTGAGGAAAAAAATTTTTAAATTTCAGCGCCTGCGGCGTTGAAATGGGAAGAAATCGGGCTTCTTATTGTTAGCCTTCAAAATTAAAAAAAATTACGACTGCGTCGTCAAAAATTCGGCGTATAAAAATTTTCTCTTTTGCCCCCCTGAAAAAATCCTCGTTACGGGCTAGCCCCAACTTTCCTTATCATCTTTTATGCCTTAAATATAAATGTCCGTTTTTAGATGTGTATGAGCGGATATGCCGATTTTGTGGCCGTTCCAGACCTGTCTTTACTTGTTCGAATTCCTGAAGCTGTATCAATGCACGTTGCTTCAATTCTTCCTGCTGGTGCTACATGGGCCTTATCTGCTGTAGTTTATGTTTGTTTATTTTAACCACAAATCAAAACATTTTTATCTTCTCTAGGCCCGCCCAGTTGTCGAGGCAATTGCCAACACAAAAGGATATTGCAATATAATGATTGTTGGTGCTGGTGGACTTGGCTTATGGATTCTTACTTTGGCCAAACATTTTTTGTGTGAAGATACCCGAGTTAAATTAATCGTAGCAGATGCCAAAGAAGAGCGTCTTATTTTGGCTGAAAGGAATGGTTCTGACTTTTTGGTTCATTGGGATGATGGGGGTTTGTTTCTTTTATTTTTTGTTTGAGTTGGTTCTTTAGGAGGTCTTCCCTCAACGATGATCCTCCTTTTTTCCCTACCCGAAAATTTCTTGGCTCTTGGGTTTTCTTCTTGGCTAAAGAAAAGTCGGTAATTCTTTGGTTCGTACCCCCCACTCTATTTTCCTTCCTCAAAGTATTAAAAAATGGTCAGTCCGTATGGGGTTTTAGAACTCGTCGAGCTGTGTCGAATGACACCAAAATCAACCCCCGGTCTTAACTTTGGGCCGAGAACAAGACTGCCAAAAATTTAAAAAATAACAGGGTGGACCAAGCTCATTTTTGGGATAAAAATTCGATCGAACAAATATTATTTCACTCGAAAGAGCTTGACGAGCTGATTCGAATGACATCAAAATCATCGTAATTGAACAAGATTTGACAAAGTTATGACATAAAGTAATCCCATTGTAGTCGTTGAGAAGCTTGTGCAAAACCTTTTGCTTTGACAGGTTTTTGTCTGTATCTCGGCCCAAAGTTAAGACCGGGGGTTGATTTTGGTGTCGTTCGACACAGCTCGACGAGTTCTATTATCTGATAGCAGACTGACCATTTTTAATACTTTGAGGAAGGAAAACGGAGTGGGGGGTACGAACCAAAGAATTACCGAAAAGTCTTGGGCCTTTTGTTTCTCTATAGGTCTTCCCAAGTGGACTTCCTATTAGAGACGGGCTCTAATTAGAATAACTTATTTCATCTTTTTCCTTTTTCAGAATTCGAAGAGTACCTGATTATGCGAACCAAAGACGTTGCTGCCGAAGGCGCTAATGTCATTTTTGATTTTGTTACATCTCCACGAACTGTTAATCGTTCTCTTAGATGTCTTTCTGAGGTTCTTTTTAATTTTCAAAATTCTTTTTTAATTTTTTTCTTAGGGAGGTGTTCTCTTTGTTGGTGGACTTTGCGGTTTGGATGTAACTGTTCCAATTAAATTAGTTGCTCGTAGTCGTTTGGCAATAATGGGAATAACTCGCGGAAGTATTGACCAGTTGAAAAGCCTTGTTTCACTTCTCGCTGAGGGGAAAATTAAAGCTCCAAATTACAGCATATATCCAGTTGATCAGGCTTCGCATGTTTGTTTAATTAAAAAATTTTTTAAATCTAACAAGGAACCATTCTTTATTGTGATTTCGAATTTGATATATTTTTTGTTACCATTCGATAGAGGACCCTCGATTACTATTGTTGTTTGCGGTTTTTCTTTCAAAATTAGTTTGGGCCGAGTTATGGCCGTTCAAAGTTTCAGTTCGGGGAAGTGTTTATTTACTCTATAACTTCAGACTCTAGCGGTCTAACTTTGAACGGCCATAACTCGGCCCAAACTAATTTTGCATGAAGCTCGCAAACAACAATAGTAAATCGAGGGTCCTCTATCGAATAGTACCAAAAAATATAATTTCGCAGTCACATTAAAGAATGGTTCCTTGTAAAATAATTAAATTAGGTTCTTCGTCAATTGAGTATGTCAGAAGTTGAAGGACGAGCAATTCTTGAAGTTTACAATCCAGACGAGGATAAAGATGATATTGAAATGGAGGAGACACAAACTAGTGGATAAACAATAATTTTTGGTATAGACTAATTTTTAAATAATTTTTTTAATTTAATGAGAAACATAAAAATAATTCTCATTTTTTGGAATTCGCTCATTTAAAATTAAAATTATATATTTTTAGTTTACTGGTCATTTTTATTTTACAATCATTCAATTTTTAAGTTTTTTGCTTCAATTTTTCGGGAAAAAAAGAATTTAATTTTCATACTTAAAAAATATATTTTGGAGCAAAAATAAAATTTTTAATTTTTCTAGCTTTAGCACATTTTTTAAATAAATTATGTAACATATACTTGATAAAGGATTTGTAAATATATTTTTTTTATTTTGGTTTTATTTGTTTAATACAATTATATTAAAATAATTTAATTATTTTTAATTAAAATAATAAGTAGATTTTTTATGGTTAATGAATATATTTTCTTACAGAAATTATTTAAAATTCTCTTTCAATAATTTAATGAAGACAAGTGAATTAATTAATAATTTAACTCAAAATGTTCAAAATAACTCGAATAAACAGGATGAAAGTCGAAGACAAAGGTTTTCTATTTTAATATAATTTTTAGATTTAAACATTTCTCTATTGATCTGCTCGGTATCAGGGTTGTTTCTAGAAATCGAGATTTTTGAAAAGACTTCCTTGGTTCAGGGTTTGATTTATTGACCTGGGCCGGTCCCGGTCTGTAGTCCAGGATAAAGACCCAGGGAAACCCCACGAAGGTCAAAAAATGCCTGGTTTGAACTCTAGGTACAGGAAAAACCCAGACCTTGGTCCAGGCCTGGCTCGATCTCTAGGGGTTTCATATAAACCGCCGTGCCGGATTTTTGTGTTAACAATAAGCCTCTAACACTTGAGTTCCCTCAAAACATTCTATTTCTGAGCTTCATGCATGAAACCCCCGGTCCTAAATCTGACCCAGTGTCGAACTCTAATAAATTTTAATCTTCTAGTTATCAAGTAATAGCAACTCAAGGCCCTGCTAGATATGGAAAGCTTGAATTGCCACATGGAATTGTGGAAACGCCTGTTTTTATGCCTGGTTCTTTCATTTAAACTTTGGCCAATATTTTACTTTTTGAGTTGGAACACAAGGATCGATGAAAGGAATTTCACCAGAACAATTAATTGAAATGGATTGTCAAATTTTGGTATTTCTTAGGCTGCATATTATCTTAATTATTTTTAGTTGTGTAATACCTATCATTTGGGTCATCGACCAGGACATAAATTAATTGAAGAAGCTGGTGGCCTTCACAAATTCATGCATTGGCCTAGACCTATTTTAACAGATTCTGGTGGTTTTCAAATGGTCTCCCTTAGTAAGTTGATGGAAATTACCGAGGAGGGAGTCAATTTTGAGTCGCCACACACAAAAGAAATGACAATGCTTACACCTGAATATTGTGTGGAAATTCAAGTAAATCTAGTTTTTTGAGCAATATATTTATTTTATTAAAAAGGAGGCATTTGGTTCTGATATAATGATGCAATTAGATCATGTCATTCCATCTTTGACGGAAGGTCCAATAGTTGAGGAAGCAATGAGACGATCAGTTAGATGGCTAGATAGGTGTACTAATGCACAAAAACGACAATCTGAATGTGCATTATTCCCAATTGTACAAGGAGGGCTTGATATAAGATTGAGAGAGGAATGTGTTAAAGAAATGGTACCTAGAGCAAAATTAGGGATTGCTATTGGAGGGCTAAGTGGTGGTGAGGCAAAGGATACGTTTTGGAAGGTTGTTGCAAGATGTTGTGAACTTATTCCCGTTAGTTTTTTGTTAGACTTTCAAAGGAATTTTTTGTTTCAGCCACATTTACCTCGTTATGTAATGGGGGTTGGATGGTCAGTTGATTTAGTTGTTGCATCGGTATTTTTTATTTTAACTATTTGGGAATTATTTTTTATTTCAGGCATTGGGTGCAGATATGTTTGACTGTGTTTATCCTACCAGAACGGCAAGATTTGGGACAGCTATAACTAGGAGGGAAGGAGATCTTCATTTGAACCAGGCACGTTTTAAGAATGATCTACGGCCTATTGACGAAGAATGTAAATGTCAGACCTGCAAAAAAGGTTATTCTCGTGCTTTTCTTAATGCAACTATTGGACATGTAAGAAGATAATTTTAAATTTCACAAATTATAAATTAAGGAAACAGTAGCCTGTCATTTGATATCCATTCACAATCTCTTTCATCACATGGATTTAATGCGACGTTTAAGAAAAGCAATAAATGAGAATAGGTTAAATGAATTTTTGTCTGAATTTTTACAAGAACAATACAAAGAAATGGGGAATGTGCCCAAATGGGTGAGAGATGCATTGAATCATGCTGGGCATAATTGGCAGTTTTAGGTATTTGTTAACTCATTTTTTTGTTACGAGCTTTGCATCAGAGGTTGATTGGAATTCCGATTTCGCACCCTCATCATTTCCGATCGACCTCTGCTTCACATATTGACATTTTGTGAACTCGAGCTTTTTTTTGTTATTGTTAACCTTTTTTGGGATAAAAAATCAAAAAAATATTTCAAACGTTTATCGTTAAGAATAGATTCACAAATAGAAATTTTTTGAATTACCTCTCAAACAATCCTCTTTAGATTCTACAGGACAATAAAACAAGATATTTAAAAAACACCGAGTGTATAAGAAAATATATTTCGATTAAAGGGTTTTATAGTATTAAAAGATTATTTTTAGGCAAAAGAAAGGAATGAAACAACAAAAAAAGATTTAGAGAAAACACACGTATTAGAAGGGAGGGGGAACCTAGCGTATATAGAATATTTCTTCACTCGTCCATAATTTCATCCCAACAAACTCCATTATTGCTGTTTTTAGGTTAGAGCAAAGCCTGAGATCCGATAAGTTTGATAAACTTTCTCAATAGCATTAGCATATGCCGCAGTGCGCAAATCCAAACCTAATCTATATTTCTTAGCCGTCTCGATAATTTTGAATGCCGATCGATTCATCGTGTATTCAAGACCCTGAATTTGAAAGTTATTTTAATTAAATTTAATATTATTTATTTACCGAATGAACGATATCCTTCTCACTTGCACCGTGAATTCTAGCTTTAAAAAATTCTGACGGCATAATTGGAATCTCACGACCAAGTGCTTTCTCTAAAGACTTCTGAACAGAATCTTAAATTATCTAGTTTTTACTTAAAAACTATTAAAGTAAAGTTACCTAACAACAAATAATTGGAGTCATGTTCATATTTGAATGTCAATCGTCCATAGCTAACGTGATTCAAATTTTTGAGCCATTCAAAAAATGAGACAGTAACACCACCGCTATTGATAAACATATCTGGAACTATTAGACAATTTCCACGTTCCAGAAGAACACGATCAGCAGCAGGTGTAGTTGGCCCATTAGCAGCTTCAGCAACAATCTAAACAAAGTTTAAGTTTGTAAAAATTTTTTGAATAAAAAATGCCGTCAGGAACGAGGAATTCCAATCTCGATATGTCTTCATTAAATATTAAGACAGGTTTTTGCATCACCCGGCAAGTTTATTGGAAAAATTAGGAAACCGTTACCAACTAAACCACTTAACCACAACCATTAATGAACAAATTTCATTCATTCTAATGTAAAACCTCCTCTTTCTACAACTCCCCCTTTCTTATTAAATAAATTTAAAAAAACCTTTGCTTGAATTCTGTGTGCATTCCCCAAATGAATAGTTTTCTCACAAGCAGCTGGCACAAGAATATCACATTTTTCAAACATCAAATCCGTAAACGGCTCAAAAGATTTTGCTCCAGGAAATCCTTTAATTGTTCCGTTCGCAATTGTCCAATCTTCCAATTCTTTTGGATGAATTCCATTTGGATTATAAATTGAGCAATCATATTCTTGAACACCAATACTTAAAAATTTTTAAAAATTGTTAAAATATTTTTTAGAGCGAAAAACAGGCGAACCTCTTACTAACAGATATCCCTACCCTTTGTGATTTAAAATTTGATTATCTTACATAAAAAAGGTATTGCTTATTGCCAGTCAGCTTTTCCCAACCCTCTAGATATTAATTAAACTAACATAAGGTACGTCTAGCCTGGAAGTTCATTATAGTAATGAGGTTCGACTGTATAGACTATGGATGGGTCGAACGGCTGAAATTTTGAAAATCAGATCCGTAACACGACACGACTTTTTTCTCTCAGCCCGTCCCATCACTGGTCTAGATTAATTTTCTAAAAAATAAGAAACCATTTAGCTCCATCTCTATGTAAATAACGATGAGTATGGAGCCCAACATTACCTTTAAAAAATTAAATTTAAAAATAAAATTAAAGGTTAAAAAATAACCAAATCCTTGAACAATAAATGTTTTGTCCTTAAATCCAGTAGTTAAACCAAGCTTCCCCATATATTCTGGATCATTTATGAATACAGCCAATCCTTTCCAAATACCCCGGCCAGTTGCAGAAATTCGGCCATGAATACCACCCGCAACGATTGGTTTACCTTTAGAAAAAAGGAATTTTAAAAAGAGAAAAATAATTTTTAAAAATTGTGTCGCTCAAAATATTTTTATTGTTTTATTAATTAAAACAAAAAAAGGAGTTATTTCAAGCGAAGAAAGAAAAATATAATCAGACCCCGTTTATAAGCACACACTCCATTTTAGGATTTTTCTCTCTAATTTAGTTCACTCTCTCTAAATTTTTTTCATCCTCAAGGGTGTACTTACAAATGGGGTCCGATTGTATTTAACTTAGAAAATAATTGATTTTGACATTTTTATTAATTTGAACCATGTACACTTACAGTTCAAACCATAAGTAAATGTCTCTAAAATATTTAAAAGTGAGATACCAGTAATGCAGGCAGAGGAATCTTTATCCAAATGTCCAGTAGTTTGATGATAAGTATCTGCAAACCACGCCATTTCTCGTTCCCCTGTACCCATATCTGGCGCAGGGACATCAATTCCTGGGCCTAGAAAGCCTTTTTTGGAGAATTCAATAGCAATACGTCGGGTAATCTTTTCAATCTAAAAAATTTTAAAAATAAAATTTTGTGCACATAAATGTGTGAAACAGTAAAAGGCCCGTAATCAGGGAGGGGAATTCCCCTTGCCCCCTCCCTCCTCCACTGAGAAAAAATCATAGGTACGGGCCTGGACAAATACGTTTTTAAGAAAAAAATGCCTTTAACATTCTCAAAAATTTGGAACCAAAATTAGACCACTTAAAATCTCTTCTAAAAACAAACCTCATATTCAGAATATTTGCGAGGATCAATTTTGACACCTCCCTTCGCCCCACCAAAAGGAACGTCCACAACTGCACATTTATAAGTCATCAAAGCAGAGAGGGCTTTTACCTCATCCTCACAAACATCTGAGGAATATCTAATCCCTCCCTTTGTTGGTGTTCGATGCTCTATTTAATTAATAAAATTTTCCAAAATATTTTAGAAAATAAACCTGAATGATGGGCTCTCCAAGCTTCAATAATTTCATAATTTCCATTATCACGTCGAATAGGAAACGCCACATGAAGAACCTTTAAAGGCCAAAATTTAAAGAAAATTTTCTCTCTAAAAACCTTATTAACAGGCTTAATAGCCGAAAGAATTCCCCGAACAAAATTCTTTTTCTCCTCCAAAGATTTTCCCTGCGAATGGAATTCATCAACCAGCTTAGGCTCAATAACTGCAGCACCCCTATCGAAATAATGATCGACCATCTAAAATTTTTTTAAATTAAAAAAATTTATTTCAAGAAAAATTACTTTATAGAACGAAGGATTCATTTGTTGACTCATTGGCTTGTCTGCATCTTTAATCTGCTCATGAGGATCTAAGGTAGCTGCAGAATAGAAGGCCGCTGGAACAAAATTTGGAGTTTTAAGAATTTTCGATGTCGCTGTTGAGACACGCAACATTTTCACTAAAAAATTAAAATTCTTGAATTAAAAAAAATCGTAGGAAATAACAAACACGATTAAAAATAACAAAAAAGAAAAAATGTGTACTATTAACTTTGAACTATTTTACAAAAATGTTTTAAATTGGTTGAGAAATTGGGCTTTTATATGTCGATAGAGGGGAGTCAAAACAACTTTTATTAAACGAAAACAAATTACTGATCAGTCTTCTTTTAATTATCAAATGGTGTCTAGTTTAGGATTCACGGAGAAAGAACAAAAGCTAATGACGACAAAATGGGGATAGTCTTTCCTTGTTTATAATTTTAAGAAAAATTAATGATGAGATTTCCTTCCAAAAATTAATATATAACTTATGATGATCATTAGTTTTCTTTCACTAGACAAAAGAACCACGTGACTTTTCAAGAAATACCCCCAACTTGAAAAAGCACGCGACAAACAAAACAGAAAAAAACTTTTTTTAATTTTGTTTAAACTCAACAGAGAACTCCCTTAAGTTGTACTCAACATGGAGGGCTGACAGAAAATTCCACAATTTAAAAAATCACGTTTATCAAAACTCTCAATAATCTTTGGTTCTCCAAAGATATTAAACAAACAATTTTCTTTTCTTAAATTTTGCAAAGAATGTCGAGAGGGAATGAACCCCAAAAAACTATTCACAAAATTTACTCTCTTTCTTGATGACTAAAGAAAACATTTTACAACAAAATTATTATTTGCAATATTCTCGATTATTAACAAAATATAAAAGAACTTATTATATTACAAAAAACGTGACAATATTTTAAACGATTAAGTCAAATTAAGGAATATTTGCGTCATTTTTCGTTAGTAATAATGGAATTAAAATATATTATTCTTATTAAGTTTTTCAGTCTCTAATTTTTTTAAAAATAAAATTTCTGTATATAAAATAATTAATATATATGTGTTTTTGTGATCATCGAAGTTGTACAAAATTAGCAGGAAAAAGAAGCAACTGTTGTTGTTGTTGCTCATCACCTTGTTTCCGTCCCCTCCACCATTGGGCATCAGAATTATCGAGTACTTCAATCACATCGCCAGCTTTGAAAGAAAGCTCATCATTATGTTGTGCTTGATAGTCAAAGGCGGCAATAGCAATTGATTTTGTCTCAGCATCGTTTTTATGTTCCGAGATTACCTGAAAAATAGGCAATAGAACAGCAACTTAAATAAAAAAAAACATACTTGCAAATAATTACCAGGGAACCAGCCAACATGCTTTTCACCATTTCTTTCCAATTCTCCTTCCCACCAACCACCTTTTTAAAAAATTCGTTGTAATTATTTTATGAAAACCAGAAACCTGGTGTTATTTGATGAACACGAACAATATCGCCCAAATGTAAAGAAATTTGATTTGAAGCAGTTGCTTCAAAAGCAGCAATCGCTCGCCCAACAGTTTGTTTTTCTTTGACAGAATTTGCTTAAAAATTAAAAGAGAATTCAACAAAAAATTTTTTTAAAGTAATTACCTATTGGTGTTGTTCCAGTAGCAGCCGAGACCTTCTGTACGTAATTTGCTGGAAAAATCCCTGTTCGGCCTTCACAAGTACCCCGCCACCATTGTTCTCGTTGATCAGTGACCCAGATACGATCACCAGCCTTCAATGATAGGTCTGTTGGCTCAACAGCATCGAATTGATATAAAGCCTGAAATTAGAATTAGACCTCATTTTTTTCAAAATTACATACAATAAACCATTCACCACTCGACTTCCCATCTATAGCTGAATTTGTCATTTTCCCAGTAACGTTATCGACATTTTCCGCATTTATTTGTTGATTTGGATTTTTTGAATTGGTTGTCACTACACCGTTTCCACCTATTGCAGATAGAGATGTAGCGCCGAGTTTAATGTAACTCTTTGGGAACCAGCCAGTTATTTGTCTGAAAGAATATTTTAACGACAAATTTGAAAATAAATATCAACTTATTCTTTTGAAGCCGTCCCCGCCATCGAAGTTCTCCTTGCTCTAAAACTTCAATTATATCACCACGTCCAAAAGTCATTTCCTGTTCATTTCGAGCTTTCCATTGGTAAAGAGCTATACCAGTACCCAAAATATTCACATCTCCTCCTTTGACTGGCTCGTCTGACGGCGGCATTTCATAAATAGGCAAAGATTTATTATTCGACTTTTCATCACATGGTGGGAGATCATAACAAGCACCAGCAGAAAAAGATGCAAAAGAGGCGTTAGTTGAATGACTTGTACTAAGTAAAGAATTAGCAGCTGCAACTCCACCATTTGTTGTATCATTAAGAGAAATACTCTTTGAGAAAGCTAAAGAAAAATGCTTTTTTAACAAATTGAGAGGCTAACCTGATGTGAAATCTGCAGTAAAAAGAGCAGTTTGTTGTTTATCCGACGATGCTACAACACTTGTAAACTCACTTCCCTCTTCTTGAATGCTGGCCAATGGCTCAGTTGAAGGCGAGCCAGATAAAGCGTTGCCTTTTTTAAGAGCTGAATTAGCTGGTAATTGAATGTTGACTGGTTCAGCAAAAGCAGCTGGAAACCACCCAACTTTATCACGAATTTGGCCGGCTAAAATTTAAATAAATGTATTAATATAAAAAATATTCTCTAACCAAGCCATCCAGGTTCAGATTGATATCCTTCAAAAACAAGAATAATATCTCCCGGTTGCAATGATAATTCGTCATTAGATCGAGCAACAAATTCATAAAGTGCCTTATATTTAATTGTCTTAAGTCCAGCGGCAGTGGCTGATAATAAAATATGCGAAGCGTCTTGCTGTGCTCCAGGAATGCTGTCTTGTCTTTGCTGAATAGAAGACTTCCCAGCAGTGTCTAAAATTAGGATAGTATGATGGTGTTTGCCTTATAGAGGTCCCAAACACTCACCATTTTGCGAGTTCTGAACATGCCCATCAAGCATATTTTGTTTTTCGCCACTTTTAGAAGTGGTTGCAGCGTTTCCAAAAACAGATACAAAGTCGTCGTCAAATCCAGAAGCGTTACTATCCTTGGATGCTTTTCGCTCTCGTGCTGAATCTGGAGGTACCTCATAATGTTTTGGGGTAGTAATTGATGGTTGGATTTGAGTTTCTGGATATTTTTCCACACGGACTTTGTTGTAACGAGCAAGTAATGTTTTGTGCTCAAGTTGAAGACTCTCAAAATCGGCACAACTTTTCTCAAAATCAGGTCGCTTCTTTAAATTTGGTTTCTGATGAATCAAAAAAATATTTTCCTACCTCAAGTACAAGCTTCTCTTGATTAACCGTCCGAACTCCCAATGCTTGAGTCTCATCTTCCAGCCGTTTTATTTCCTCCTCAACGGAAGTAGATTCCTTTTGAATAGAATCAATTTCATTACTCTTCCCAAGATAACGTTGACATTCTGCTTGTAATTGCAGATTCTCATGACTATATCGTTCACTCTGCACCGTCAGCTTAAATAAAATTTATTAAAATTTTGAAGAAAAAACAAAAATAACCTCTTTAGTCTTACGCTCCAATTCTTGAATTTTGGCGCATTTTTCGTCACGTAATTCTCTCATTCCTTCAATCTCTTGAGTTATTTCGAGTATTTTATCACGTACTCCAGTAACATCACCGTTGAGCTGCTGAGAACGCTCATCTAACGCTTGAATCTGAAAGGAAATAGTTCGATGCCTTTGCTGAATCTGAGTTGCTTTTTCTGTTTCAGCATCTAGTTGATTCTTAAATTTAAAATTGTTTCAGGAAATAATTTAGTTAAATTACCTCCAAATCACGAACTCGAATCTTTTCCAATTCCTTAATACGCTCAATTTCAAGTCTACGTCGAGCTTCTTCCCGCTGTGCTTTCATCCGTTCCTCCTCTGCTGCCCTCTCCTTTTCCAGTTCCAACTCCCTTCTTCTTTGGATTTCCAATTCTGCCTCCCGACGACGTTCATACTCTTGTCTCTCCCGCTCTTTCCGTTCCGCTTCCTCGCGTTCACGTCGCTCAATTTCAGCACGACGACGTTCTTCCTTAAATTAAAAGTGGATTCTTTATTCCTCTTACATTGTCAAATCACCTCAGCTCTAAGTATTTGCCTGCGCCTATCAAGCTCTGCTTGGCCTTTATCGAGATTATCTCTTCGCTTGTCTTCAAAAGTTTTAAAATGACCCCCACCGCTGCCAGCTTTTTGTGGTGGTGGAGCATCAGGATCATTTTGAGTAAGGACCGTTGAAGGCGAAACAGTTTTACTCCTGCTGCAAAAAGCGTAGAGTTCATTGGGCAATCTAGATGGGAGTGCATAACCGGACTAAAATTTTAGTAAATTTAGTAGTGATAATTTTAAGCTTATAAACCTTAACCATTTCAATAAGAAATTGCGCTGTGCAAAATTCTTCAATACCCAAACAACCATCCTTGTTAACATCTGACATGTTCCAAATTTGAGCTAGCACATGAGTCGGCAACGAACTTTCAGCCAAAACACCACGCGCTTGTTGTCCAGTAAGAAGGCCAATTCTGCTCCGATCTAATTGATTAAATTGTTGACAAAAACGTAGTTTCAACGGCTGAGGTAAGCTCCAATCTCCCATCTCCTTTGTTCCCATATGGAATGGTAAGCCAGCACCAAAAGTAGCAGGAGGCATCGTTGGCGTTTGCGCTTAAAAATAATCTCAACTTATTAAATGAAAGGTCAAAACCTGCGGAATAACTGCCCGAAGGAGGCGACGGTCGATAACTAGTAGAAATACCGTAAGTTGACATCGGTCTCGGGGGCATTTGCGGTTGCTGCATTGCCGGCACGGCATTCTCAACGCCATTAAATTGGAACTGACCAGTCTGAGGAATATCACCAACAATTTGGCGCATACTGTCAGGAAGTACAGAAGGTAATTGCAACCCAGCAAGACAGTTACGGATCAACTTCATAGCTATAGAAAATTCAAGCCTGTCAAGTTTACCATCTTTGTTCAAATCCGATAGCTGCCAAATCTAAAAATATTTGTTGATAATTAGTTAAAATGTAAACAAAAAAGGATTTTAAAAAACAATTTACGAATCAAAACCTGAGCAAGAGCCGAAGCCGAAAGTCCAGATTTTAGAAAGAACGGTCTTGCTTGCTCACCATAAATCATCCCACCAATTGGTCGTAACACAACAAACTGGCCTTCATTCTGTCTATGCTCTTGTGCAGTTATAACCCATGGATTTGGTGCTATATTTGGAGGGTTTTGTGGTTGGACTCCACTAACATTCATTAAAGTAGATGGATAATTGCCAGAATTTGACGTTGAATTATTAGAGAGAATCATCATTGAAAAATCATTTTTTATTAAAAAATATCTAGTAGATTAGCTAAAAATAATGAGAAAATTCTGTTAAAGCAAAATATGATGAATATATTTTTTTAAAAAGAAATTTACTTAAAAAAGGTGGCAATAACAAAAAAGAATAGCGGCATATACCCATTGATTTCCTATTTTTCTCTTCTTGCATTTTTGCTTTTTTCTTTCTGCCAACCCACTGACACAAATACTACGAAATAAAATGGTCAAAGCTTTAACTTGCTCATTTTTGGTTTACTTAAAGGAGGTCAAAGTGGCCGAACCATACTAGACTTTTAATGTTTGAGAAAATGCCAGATATGGTGGGAAAAGCAAAAAAGAATTTATAAACCAATAAAAATATCCACTAATATTATCCACTAATACTTATAAAAGCAATTTTCGAGTGCTTTTGACTTGATAAATTTTAAAAATTCTTTCAAACCAGCCTAAATTCCCTCCCCCAGTCTCTTTTATAATTTCGAGGTATCTCACGAATTTAATCGTTAAATATTCAAAATTAAAAATTCTCCAAGAAAAATTTTATCAATTCAAAAGACGGCAAGAAATGAAAGGAAATATTTTAATTATAAGCTCCTTCCATCAAATAAAAGAAACAGATTCGTGGGTTATTAAAGATTATTATGTAAAAAAGGATATATAAAATATATCTTAAAGATAAGTAAACGATTAAAGAAAATTTTGAAAAAAAAATTTTTTGAAAAAATTTTTTTTGACTTATTCCGAAAAAGGATCTACAAAAAAGAAGTGATTTTAGAAAAAAAATTAGAAGCTGTCAAAATTCACATCACAATAAAGACAAAACTATCTAAATAATTACTTGAAGTGAGCGAAGCGGAAAGTTGAATAAAAAAGAATGGAGATCAGAAAAGTTTTAAGAACACAACAATTTAAAAGATTCAAAAATATAAAATTATGAATAGATTCATAAAAATAAATATTTTTTTTATTTTTAAAATAATGCCTTCCCTTCTTGCACATCTCCCAAATATTCTACAAAATCAAACATTTTTACCAAAATAAAGAAGATTTTCCTCCGGGTGGATGAATTATTTTGATTGCTAAATTGAAATTTTATTTCTATTAAATCTAACATTAAACCCACTCACCAATAAATTTTGGAGTAAACCAAGGATTAGGGCCTAATTTTTCTTTCCCAAGTTTTTCCCCTATATGTACAAAATGGTCAGACTTTCTTACTTTACCTTTAGTGACATAGCAAAAAAATAGTTTTTCTTTATACAGATAAGGGAACGAGCCGTCCCGATTCCCCGAAATCGGGAATTTTGTTTTCTTGTAGGTTCATTCCCTGATACACATAAGAGAAAGAAATTGGGGAAGAAAAAAAAGGGCCAACTCCTTGGTTTATCCAAAATTTTGTAAAAATTCTAGACCTTACAATTAGTCAAATTTAAATAAAAATCAGAGCGCTTACTTGTTTTTGGCCTTGTATAACCGCCTACTTTCTTGGAGGATTCTTTATTTTCATCATTTGTAGTTTCTTGCTTATTTTCATCATTAAGAGATGATTGTCTTTCAAAAATATTATTCTTTTTTAAGTCATCTTGCCGCGTTGATTTTTCACAAAAAAACTGAGCATTGAGATTATCTACAGGTTTTTTCCTGGGAATTGTAGAAGAACACGCCTTTCTGCTATCTATTAATTCTGTCGAATGTGAATTTGAATTTGGCATCAAAATTGTTTCGTTTGGTTTTGTTCTGGAAAATGACGTGAAATTTAATCTTAAATTTGTTAGAAAATACCTGACATCTTCTGCAGACCTCATTTTATAACAAATTTGTAACCGTGAAGATTCGCTAGTTTCTGATGCTTTAAAGCTGGATTCGCTGCTCCCAATAGATCCTGGACTAGAAACTACACGGACTTCAATAAACGCCCCAACAGGAATTTGTTCTCGCGTCCTTCGATTACTCCTGCTAGCCTGAGGAAAAACAAACGGGAACCACGGAAACATCCAATCCTTAAAAAAGGAAAAAAGAAATAAAATGTTTAAAGAAAAAACCAACCTTATCGTTATATTGCTTAATTGCCTTTAGTTAACGAAAGTAAATTTGTTAAAAGTTCCGGTTGAGAAATCTGGGACACGCCCAAGTAGGCGCGCGGCCAAGTAGGCGCAAAGCCATAACTACCTGAAAAATCTATGGACCTTATCAATTTTGGTACCAATCTCTTTAGCTCGATGAGAGGAATCGTTTAATACCAAATTTGGTAAGATTCGGAAATTTTGAAGCAGGTTATGACTTTGCGCCTACTTGGCCGTGCGCCTACTTGGGCCGTACCCGAGAAATCTCACGGTGGGATCTTTAATCGAACTTGATAAATAAAAACATTTTGATAGAAAAGCGCTAATTTGATTAATTGACAGAGGACATTTCAGTCTCGTCGATTCAGTTTGCGGATTCTTTTCCGGCCTAGATTTTTTGGAGATGATTAGATATGAATATTCCCGTTATCAAATGAATAAGCACATTCAGAACTATCGATTAATATATGGATTAGTCACAAAGCTCGAAATAAAAGACTGTTATGATCCCCCAAACTGAGGCGATGAGACATAATTGAACTCCTACCGTTGAAATTTTACAAAGTCGAGGGAACAGGACCATTGAGTACCGCCGTTTGTGTACGGCCAGTTGTGTACCGCCGGTTGTGTACCAGGCCATTTGTGTACTGGCCGTTTGTGTACCGCCGGTTGTGTACCCACCCAAAGGGGGACGTTTGTGTACCCGCATTATTTTTTTAGATTTTATATTAGAGCTAGGAACGGGTCCGGGACCCGGACCCGTTTCCCGGTTTCCGGGTCCTTTTTCCCGGTTTTTTTGAAGCAACCGGGTTGAAACCGGGAACGGGTTTTCCCGGTTTCCCGGACCCGGAACCCGCCCGGTCCATTTTTCAGAACCCGTTTCCCGGACCCGGTCCCGGCTTTTTTTTTCACTGGGAAACCGGGAAAAATATTTAGTGTATTTGCGTACTTTGATATTAAATTTTTGAAGGAAAAAGCAAAGGAATATTTATAATTTCTCCATTTTGCATTTGTCGGTCGATAGTTGAGTGGTTAAGTTTACTTACTTCACTCATCTAGTTATTTTGATAGGGATGGGGTTCGAGTCCATGTATGGAAATGTGGCTGAGAAAATTTTCTTTTCAAAGATAAATAATTTTAAACTTTGATTTTGATTTTAAATTTGCAAACTTTTTTTGATGTTTCAAACTTGAAAAAATATAAGAAATTTTAATTATTTTATGAATTTTCCAAAATTTTCGCCTGTGGCGCAGAAGATTTAAGAGTTCTGGCTTCATTACCATCTAAACTTCGAAAAATTTTTTCGCCGGCAGCTCTGACAATTGAATTTTTTTCTCCTAAGGCCTTACAAAATTCTGTAAATTTTCGCCTACGGCGCAAAGAATTTTTAATTTAATATGATTAAAAAGAATCAAAAGGGATATCTAAGGATTCTGAAGGAATTAAGGGGAACTAACATTCTGAAGGAACTAACATAACAACCTCTCGGCCACCATATAAGGGCTATAGAAAGAAATTAAACATATGTAGTATGTCTTTGAATTTTCCATTAATCCCCAGTTGCCGACGAACTTATGTTTCAGACAAGGGAATTTGATCTTTAGTTAAATAATCGTGAATGACATTTACTTACATTAATAGAGGTTATTTAGAATAAGTATAGGAGGATAGTTGAAAAATACAGCCCTATGTGGAAAATAGACCATCATTTCAACAAATTAAAAATTTCCCGGTTTCCCGGCCGGGACCCGCCCATTTCTAGACCGGGTTGAAACCGGGAACGGGTTTTCCCGGTTTCCCGGACCCGGAACCCGCCCGGTCCATTTTTCAGAACCCGTTTCCCGGACCCGGTCCCGGTTTTTTCAAAATTCCTAGCTCTATTTTATATCCAAGGGCGGAAGTATTGCTGGTATGAACCAACTTTACGGTACATTATATAGGAATATAATATGGGAATATAGATTATATCCACCAATTCGGAATCTTATTAGGCTAAAGTACCAACTTTACGGTACATTATATAGGAATATAGATTATATCCACCAATTCGGAATCTTATTAGGCTAAAGTACACCATCGGGGGATTTTAGAAAATCTGGTTTTGTGTTGCTACGGAGGGTATTTAAAAAGCAACAAAATCATCATTTTATATTTAAAAATAAAAAGACTAAAACAAAAATATTGTATCACGCATTATTACAAATAACAAAATATTTAAAAAATAATTCACTGGTCCATTTGATAATTGTAAGCAATCCCTCGCAGATCCTTATTGAATTTGTGAAATACGTATAAAAATCCATTGTGCTCATATTTTACATTCCCTCTTTTGGTTTTAATTGTTTCTTCCATTATAATAAAAAAAAGAAAATAAAAATAAACAATTGATAAAGATTGATAGAGAAGATAAATAAAAAAATCTAAAAAAATAATGCGGGTACACAAACGTCCCCCTTTGGGTGGGTACACAACCGGCGGTACACAAACGGCCAGTACACAAATGGCCTGGTACACAACCGGCGGTACACAACTGGCCGTACACAAACGGCGGTACACAAACGGCGGTACTCAATGGTCCCCTACCGCAAAGTCGACGATTAACTTTTGCAACTTTTTCGAATACCTAACAAGGAAAGGTTGCGAGGTGTCTGACCTAAAAACGGTTGAGACCGGGCTCATTCGATAGAGAATGTGCCCTTTCTAGCAAGGATTTTGTGCATTTTTTGCCTGTTTTTTGATCTGGCCAAGATATGGCCCTCCAAATTCCCAAAATTTGGCTTCTAAAAACTGATTGAACTCTTTAAATCTTTCAAATCGTCACCTAGATTTGAACCGAACATTACCCCATTTTATGATTTCATTTTTTTTTCTTTTACGTTAAAGATTATTTTTGGAAACTAACATTTATATTATAACTTTATGTCCTATATCTAGCTATTTATTATTTCTCTTAATTTATACATACAAACAACAATGATTTTTCGAATGTCAGAATTATTCAAAACTGTTGAGAAATTGCACAATCTTGAATTGTATGAGGATCTTTCACTTTTGGCAGAAATTCATTTACCTAATGAACCTTCAAAAATATTCGCAGATGGTTTAAATTTTTTAATTTTAAGTATTCTATTTTTGTTAAATTTTAGATAATGAATTGGATGATGATCAAAAAGGTTTCTTTCTTTGTTGTTTAGCAAATGCTTGCGCTGAATTGAACAATACTTCACAGGCTTTAAGGGTATTTTTAAAGAACATTTTAGGCCTAACTACTGTTTAGGTACTAGGCTCAAAATTTGACAATTTATATGTCAATCGAAAGAGCTCACCGAGCTGAGTCGAATGGCACCTAAATTAGTCAGCAGAAACCACTATGAGCCGAGATGTAGGGCTCGAAATGGTCAAATTTATGGGGGGGGATTTTCGGTGTTAAAAATCTCAGTTCACAGTTGAGTCCGCGGGCTAATTTTGTGTCGACGAGCTCTTTCGATTGATATATAAATTCTCAAATTTTGAGCCTAGTAACTAGTTTAGCCACATTTATTTTCTATCTTTTATTTTCTTCAGCGTTATGAAATGGCCCTAATATATTTGGGAAATATTCGTCAACATAAATTAAAAAATCGTTATGAAAATGTACTCAACACCGCTCAAATTCGTTTTTTAATGCACAAAATTCTCTTACAAAATAAACAGGAAGAGGAAGCTCTCCATTGCCTTGAATCTATTCCTCGAACTGAACTTACTTCGAAAGTATTGCTTGCTATGGCTCGTCTTTGTCATTTGCTTGCAAAACCGCCGTCTCAATGTACTCGATCTTTATTTAACAAACGAACGGATGCGCCAAATACTCGAATTGTCAATTATTTTAAGTTTGTCTTTTATTCCTTTTTTTTCTAAATATAATTTAAGAGCAATCGTAAAAGATGTGCCAGAGGCTATTTATTGTCAGAGCTATTTGTTGACTGCTGGGGCACTTAAACCTTCACAACAGTCCCCTCTTTCGACAAGTTCAAAAACACGTTCTAGCCCATCTAATGTCGAATTGTCGAAAGATTTTATCGGCACGTTTTCTGAAGCTTCTCGCATTTGGGCTGAAGCCAAACAACTTCAGGCTAAAAAACAATACATGGATGCTGCAAAAATGTTGGATAACCAATTAAATGGTTTGAATTTGCGGTATATTTTAGTTGTTTAATTTCATTGAATTTTAACTTTCCTTCAGATTTCTCTTGGAACAAGCTCTATTTTATCGAATAGCTGGTGATCAACAAAAGGCCTTGGCGTGTTATCAACAGGCACATCTTTTGGATTCCACAAATGCTGAAGGAATGGATACATTTGCCTCTCTTCTAGGAACTGTTTGTTTGAGCTTTTTTCATTAAGTATTAACTTATTGTTAGCATTATAATGCCCAACAAACTCAACGTGAACTTGATTTATTGGCCCATAAAATGGTTCATTCTAATCCGCGTCGGGCCGAAGCGTTTGTTGTTTATGGTTGGGCTGCTCGGCAATCTCATAGAATGGCGGAAGCTAGACAGTTTGCACAAAGAGCTGAACAACTCGCTCAAGTAAGATAAAAATAGATATCAAAATATTTTTTGTTTTTAGAAGAGAGGAAGACAACGTTGTGAAGCATTGCTTCTTAAAGCTCAACTGCTATTTGATACAAAGCGACATTACAAGGTTATTTTTATGAGTTTAAATGACGAAGTACCTTTTTGAATTTAGGAGATGGAAATGGTTTTAGCTGATGCGTTGCACAATGACTGCACCAATACAGCTGTATATGCCCTCTATATTCAAATATTTATGGCTCAAGTAAATTCAGAAAATTAATATTTTCTTAATTTTTATTATTTAAAGAAGCGCTTTGGCGAAGCCCAAAGGATGGCAAAAACATCTTTGCGATTTGTGGGTCAACAAAATCACCAAATACTTTTCCTTTTTGCCCAATCGTTGGCTGATGATCCTGCTGGTGGCGGACAGGTTTTTTTAATTTATTACATAAGAAAATATATTTTTAGTCTGGAACAGAACAGGCGGTTGTTACGCTTGAAAAAATGGTTCAGGATGGGCATTGTCATTCTTTGGAACTACTTTTATTGCTTTCCCGCCTCTATGATCGGCAACACAAATATGATAAAGCAATTATGTTGCTTAATCGCTTCAAGGAGGTTATTTGTTTTCTCTCTCATTTAATCAAACTTTTTCAGAGTTATGGAGATTCAAGAATTCACCGCGAGCTAGGGGACCTTTTATCAAAAACAAATCGACAAATGGAGGCGATGGGTGAGTATGGGCAAGCAATGAATGGAAATAATCCTGATACTATTGCTAAAGAAAGAGTATGAATTTTTAAAATTATTATTTAAAAAGGCATTTCGTTTTGGTCTAGTCTGTAAGTGAACAGGTCCAGATTTATTAAAATGCCAAAATTAATTTAAATAAAATGTTTCCAGTAGTTTATATTTGTTGCTCGAATGGTGCCCGCTGTCGTAAATGATTTGACAGTGAATGTAAAAAAACATTTTGGTGTTTTGAGCAACAAACATTTTTCTTTCATTTTTAACTCGAAACTAATATTTTCATGTCAGATGATTGCACTTATGGGTGGTCTCACTACTCCACAAAACGTTACAAATGCAGCATTCAAAAATGGTTCTTCTGGTTCTACTTCTAATAATGCTACCACTAATGCAACGAACACTTCACGTTCATCATTCGAAAGGGCTATTCGAGTACCTCCGCCAATAACGCGTGTTACAAGACGAACTGCTGCTAATCAACATGAACAGTTACGTAGACTTCGAGGAATGGGTACATACTCGGCTACTGGTTCGCCTGAGTCTAGTGTGGGTGGTTCTCGTGCACAATTCCGTCGGATGGCTGCTGTTCGTGGTTTGCATAGTGGACGAGGTCTTATTAGCGAACCGCTTTCTTCTGGATTACTATCACGCCCTCTTCAATTTCAAGATGATGTTTCGAACGAGGATGATAGTAGTAGAGAGGTTTTAGTGTTTAATTGACATGTTGACATTTTTTTAAATTTCAGAGTTCAAACGATTCCCAGTTAAGTTTGGTTGCTGATTCTTTGGAACAATCGCCCAACAATTCGTCGTCTGTTCTGGAGCAAGCACGAGGAAGTAATAATTCCACCGTTGTTGATAGTTCTGATTATAGAGCTGATCGGAATTCTCTTTTCCGTCACATGACTCACTTGAGTGATATTCAAAGCTATTTTACAAATGAGAGTTTAGCAACAACTGAAGAAGGGAGTGGACCTTCTGTATCGTCAACCAATGTTTCTACTACAGCTACGAGTAGTGTTGGGACAACAACGTTGAGAGGTGTTGATGCAACAACTGAAACTACTACTACAATTACTACTATGGCCGGCTCCTCTCTCCGATCAGTCGATGGTTAAAACGATTTTTAAATTATTTTGATATTTGCCCCTTTTTAGATTTTGTGCCATTAATTCCTGATGAGCAATTGTTGGATGAAGAAATGAGTATTGATAATCAAAATCCTGAAGAGGAAGAAATTGAAATTGAAGGAAACAGTCAATAAATGTTTTAAGTATTTTTTTTCTATTTAACGTTTTTTTAATATCTTCTTTCATTTCTTTTATCCAACTTTTTCAAATTTTCTTTTTTTCCTTCTCTCTGATTATTCTTTTATATCTCCATGTATTTGAAATATTTCTAACAGTTAAAAATAAACATTTGTTGAAGGTTTGAATATTTTTTTGAATAGATTAGTGTCATATAAATATTTCTTTAATTAAGGTATATTTTCTAATTTTTTGTAGAAAATGTTTCCGTATGAGATTTATTATAGAATTCTAAAACATCTTCCATATGAAAGCCTTTATGGAAGTATTCGTTTGGTCAATCATCAGTTTTCCCAAATTGCTTCAGAAATTATTGAGAAAAGTGACTTTGGATGGATTTTGGTGTTCATTGATAATCATGTTTGTTTATTTTTTATTTAAAATTTTATTATAATTTTTAATATTTGTTGTCAACTTATAGTCGGACCCCTCAATACATTCGGTATTAGATTTTAAGATGCGCTTTTTAACTTGACTGGTCACCTGGATGGAAATCTGCTTAACCGATCCCCCAATTCAAGGTTTAAGCATTACCACTTTTTAATGGGATTTATTTAAGCATAGTATCAGGGGGTATCTACAAATGGGTCCAAATGCATTTTTTATACGTTATTTTTCTACCGTCAAATAATAAATTTTATTTTGTTTAGGATGGCAAGAATATAGCTGATTGGCATGGAAGTTTTGAAAGCTCTAAGAAGGGATATGTAAATTTTTTAAATTAAAATCACGACTTTATTTTTTTATTTTCAGCGATCTCTTCCTGAATGTGACCCTCCGTCTTTTATTAAAATTGAAAGGATTTATTTTTATTGTGACCTAGTAACTGAAGAACTTGTTACTTTTTTGCAACGAATGAAGAAAGTTATTAGTTCTTGCAGAGTTGATGTTGATGATCTTGATGTTTTTGATTCGATTCTGGAACGTTCGAACATTTCTATGGATGTTTTCCTTGATGCGTTTCAGAAACCGTAATTTGAATTTTTTAAATACACAGTTTAATCAGGGCTCTCATCGGGAAAATTTAAGTTAAGGTACAGAAGTCGAAAAATTTTCAAAATATATGTACGCTACAAAAATTTAATTTAAAATTCTATTTTCGCTTAATTTCTCTCTTAAAAAGGGTCTTAGCGCCAGTCGAAAATTTTGAGAATTTTAAGCTTAAATTTAATCTTTTAACCAAATAGTTATATTTGTAAGCACAAATATTACAGTTTCAATTTTGTAAATAAATAATTTTGGTGGCTATTATTCTTTATATTTTTTTTTAAAGGTGTTACCGCTTGTGGATAGATCAAGCTTATAGTTCTGGTTGTGACAAATTTTTATCTTCTCAATATGTTTTGCATTGTAATAATTTAAGAATTCAAGAGTTTATTTTTATTTCTGATTCTTTATTGGATTGGCTGTTTGGTGAACCAAAAATTACTCGTTCAATTCATCTGGATGAATATTCAAATGACTGTGTTCATAATCTTTTTGACTCTATCAAGAAAAACGCTGTTGAGGTAAAATTTTCTTAGGAAACAAAATTAGCTTTTTTATCATAAAAAATTTTTAGAGGGTCTAACAATAAAAAAATTTTGAAAAAAATGAAAAACATCTTCTGGCAATTATTTTCTTATTCAAGTAACCCTAATTCCTCCTTGATAATTTTTAATTTTTTGATTAGTCTCCGAACATTTCTTTTTTCACCTGAAGGGGGAGGGGTGTAGTTCATTATCCCCCTGGATACACACTTGAACCTAATCATAATCCCCTTTAATTATTTTTCTTTTTTTTAAGACTCCAAATTTTGACTCAAAGTTCAATATTTTTCTCGGTGAAAATCCTTCTTTTAATCCAAAAATATTTGAAGTTGAGAACAAATTAAAAATTCATTATTTCAATGAAAATTCTTTGGTATTTTACACCGGAAAAGTTGGGTGGGAAGAAAGAAGGAAGGAAATTTTGCTTGAAAGTAATGTAGTTGAGTATGATAATGTTGACCAACAGCGATTTACTAAAATTTTTATTGAAATGGAGGAAGAAAGTAAAAAATATAATGACGAAAATGAAGAGATGGGAGAAGAATTTAATAAAAGTGAGGAAGAAGATTTTGTTAGTGATGAATCTTCTATTAATGATGAAAGTGGAGAGGAGGAGGATATTAATGAGAATGAAGGGTAATTTTTATGATTAAGACGAGTATAATTTAAAACAATTTTATAATTTATTTATTACTTTGACATTCCTATAATTTTTTATAGAATTTTTTATGAATTCTTTTATTAATTTATTTTCTTCCGGTTGGTGACAAATGAGAAAATAAATTTTTTTTATTTTTTTTAAATCGTCTAAATGATGTTTTGTTCTTTTTATATATTTTTTTTATTTTTAAAATTTATTTACTAATTTAATTTAGAAAATGTTTCCTTGTGAGGTTTATTATAAAATTTTAAAACATGTTCCATACAAAACCCTTTATGGAAGTATTCGTTTAGTCAATCACCAATTTTCCCAAATTGCTTCAGAAATTCTTGAGAAGCATGAACGTGTATGGCTCAAGTTTTACATTGATTATCGTGTTTGTTTATTTTTTTTAAATTTTAATTATTTAAATTTATTAGGATGGTAAACACGTAGCACAATGGTTTCCAAGTCGTGGTAGGTATTTGCGCCCAGAAGATAAGGTAAAAATTTAAATTTGTTCTATGTTAAAATTTTTTTCCTTTTTTAGCGTTCTCTTCCAGAATGTGATCCCCCATCCTTTATTAGAATTCAAAGGCTTACTATTCTTGGTCGAATAACAAAAGAACTTATTTTGTTTTTGAATAGAATTAAAAAAGCTATGATTTGTTGTCGAATTGATTTTGAGAAAGTTGATGACTTTATATTGGATTTGTTAAGTTTAAATATTACTGTGGATGATTTTTTTAGTGCATTCCCCGAAAAGTGAGTTTTTAATTATTTTTATTCCATAATACAATTGGACCTCACTTTTATGCTCTTGGGGCTGAAAGATCTTCTATCGAATGGTACCAAAACAACACCGAATTTTTGTATTCAGTAACTGATGTTTCCTTGCTAGATTCCTCACCCAGCGGTCAACTAGGTTTTACGTATCTTAACTTATATTGTGGTTCAACTGTAACAGACACCTAATTCGAGATAATATAAACTAGGCATACATATGTATATTCCACCCAGTGCCACCAATACAAAATTGAAGCCGGTACCTTTCAGTTAACCTTTCAATCCAAAATGAACCGTCTTTTTCTCACCCCGTCTCCTTCCTATTGGATGGTTGCTGCTAAATTGATATCATCTTTTAGCCCAAGTGTATATTTTATAATGACATTATTTTTTCCTTTTCAGATGCTACAAAATTTGGATAGATAAAATTAATTTGTTCAATTCTGAGTTTCTCTATTCAAAATATGTCTTAAATTGTGGTGATTTATATATTCAGAATTTTGAAGATTCTAATTACAAACCTTTAATAAAGTGGCTGTTTGGTGAACCAAAAATAGTTAAATCAATTATTTTGCTTGGATGGTCAAATGATATTGTTTACAATTTTTTGGATAATATCAAGAAAAGGGCTGTTGAGGTAAAATTATTTTTTAGAACAATTCCTTTACAGTCAGATCTCACTATAGGATATAGATGTTCTAAAATAGCGAATATCGACTAGACATATATTCCACCCAGTGACACAAAACGAAAGGGAAGCTCAGTTTCAAATGAATTAGCATATTTTTGACCTAAAATTGAGATTGGCGCCCCCACCCTTAGATAGTTTTTCAATTTTCGGGGACGATCATAAAGAGCGGTACTAACGTCTTAGACCGTAGAGACAACGAATTTGCGGGCCATAACATTAAAGTACATTGAAGCCTATCTAATCCTAGGGTTGTTTAATAACGAGGATCTGACTGTATTTCTAAAAATAATTTGTAAAAAAACTATTTTCAGGATACCAATTTTGATGCAGATTTCATTATTTACTTTTGTTCTCATGGCAATACTTTTCTAAATTTAAATGAATTTTCTGTCGAAAATAAATTAAAAATTCATTATTTTTCTGAGAATAATTTTGTATTTTACACGGACAATTCTGATAATGGAAAGGGGAAAAAAGAAGTTTTTGAAGCTAGAAAGGGATTTAATGGTTATAGTAGTGATGATATCTCAAAATATGTTACAATTATTGATATTAAAATTGATTTTGGATGGGATTCTTAAATAATTTTTTTTGAAATTTTTTAAAAATATTTTAAATGAGGTTTTAATAAGTGAGATGAAGACTGATGATTTTTATTTCTGATAAAAATTTTATGTATATATTTGACTTCTCATTTTTAAAAAAAATTTGTTCCCTGTACCCGATATTTTGTTCTTTTTATATTTTTTTTTATTTTTAAAATTTATTTACTAATTTAATTTAGAAAATGCTCCCTTGTGAGATTTATTTTAAAATTTTAAACCATCTTTCATATGAAACCCTTTATGGAAGTATTCGATTTGTTAATCACGAGCTTTCACAAATTGCCTCAAAAATTCTTGAGAAAAATGAACGTGCTTGGATTGTGTTTTCCATTGATTATAAAGTTTATTTTATTCCTATATATTTTAATTGTTAAATTTTTTAGGATGGTAAGCACGTAGGACAATGGTCTTCAAAGCATGGCGGGTGTTTATGCTCAGCAACAACGGTAAAAAATTTAAATTCGAACATTAAATATTGTAGAGCGGATAGCTAATTAATTCCTAAGGCTATACAGTAGGGGACGTGGTGTAATGGGTAACACATTAGTCCGGTCTACTGAAATGCTGGTTCGCTCCCAGCCGCCGAATTACCTTTTGCACTAACTAAAGGAGAGAAATACAGGGTGACAAAAAAGGTTCGGAGTGGAGTATTTATTTACCATAATTTTCTGTAGACTTAATATTTTAAAATAATTTTATATTCATTTTGTAGCCCATTCACAAAATTAAGCAATATATTGTTCGATATAACAAAAGTTATAGCCATGACCGTAAGGCACACCAAAATTTTACTTTCAGTATCTCAACGCTGAGGAGTCCGATTTGCGTAATTTCAAAAGAATTTAATTTAGCTTATTAGCGACCATGGTGAATTTTAAATATGAAACTTACATTAACTCTTACATTAAGGGCTGTGAGTAGTTGTAATTCGGTTTTGGGGGTAAACGAATTTTTTTGTTTAGGGTGGGTTATTCGTAAATAAATACCTCTCTAAATTCTTAGTTTAAAATTTTTTTATTTTATAAGTTTTGAAGATCAGAGACCCCTCTAGCTTCCCTCAAAAATTAAAATCAATAACACAATCCGTTCCCAAGTTATAAATCTTCAACCACAAAAAGAGGTGCAAGTTTGAATCGAAAATCTTAACACACACGTTCGACCCTGTATCAACGCAGAAGGGTGGAATCTTTTGAATATCTATTAAAATTTATTCCATATTTAGTTCTCTATTTTATCATATTTATTTTAAATCCGTAGAATATTTTTGATCGAAGTTATGTAAATAAATACTTCACTCCGAACTTTCTTGTCACCCTGTAGCTATAGCCCAGCTGCTTTACTATATGTATTTTTTCAATTTTTAGCGTTCTCTTCCAGAATGTGATCCCCCATCGTTTATTAGAATTAAAAGGATTATTATTTCTGGCCGAATAACAAAAGAACTTGTTTTGTTTTTGAATAGAATTAAAAAAGCTATAATTTGTTGTCGAATTGAATTTGACAAAGTTGATGATTTTTTGTTGGAATTGAAAAGTTTAAATATTTCTTTGGATGATTTCTTTAATGCATTTCCAGAAAAGTGAGTTTTTAATTATTTTATTCTTTTGGGGCTTTTCATAATGATCATAAGTGTTTCTGTTTTTGTTTGTTTTTTTTCACCCAGCGGTTAACCGATTAACAGATACACCTAATTTGTTATAGTTCTAATCTACAAGTCAAAGTTGGGTTTTTGTTAGGCCCCAAACCACAATTCGAAAACAATTTAGAGAAAAGGGTGACGATATCGAAGTTGGTAGAAAACCCCTAAATACTCCTCCCATTTCGAAATATGTAGTTTTGGAATCTTTTCCTAATAAAAACCAACGTCAACACTACGGGTTACTCGAAATCTGGACCCTTTGATTCTAAATGACCCGACTTTTTCTCAGCCCGTCCCATCCCTGATTTGATGATGGTCCCATCCAACTAATTATTTTCCTTTTCAGATGCCTCAAACTTACGCTAGATAAAATTAATTCGTCCAATTCTGATCTTCTCTTTTCAAAATATGTTTTAAATTGTGGACATTTATCTATTGACAAATTTAAAGATTCTGATTATAAACCTTTAATAAATTGGCTGTTTGGTGAACCAAAAATAGTTAAATCAATTAATTTACTTGGATGGTCAAATGATAGTGTTTACAATTTTTTGGATAATATCAAGAAAAGGGCTGTTGAGGTAAAATTCTTTTAGACCAGGGCTCGCATCGACAAAATGGCAATCAGAAATATAAAAATCTTGATTAAAAAGTACATAGGGAGAAAATTTGCAAATAAAAAGTACACTCCAATTTTGTGCATTACAATGCACTTTTTTGTGGCGCCGATGGCACCAGAAAATCCATTTTTTGCGCCGCAGGCGGAAATTTTGGGAATTTTAGATGGCCGTAGATCAAAAATTTCATTTTTTGCCAAATCCCTTCCCCAATTTCATTTACAATAAAAAAATTGATTTAAAAAAGTACATACTTTCAAAAAAAACATTTTTTGCGGATATATTTACGCGGACGTATAATCATCAAGAGTGTATTTAGGGGGCGGGAGGGTGCTGAAGCCCCCCCCCCCCCGAAATGGGGGAAATGGGAAAAAATTAGAAGGATAATCAGAAAGTGAATTTTTTTAGCCTGCAACCTCCAAAGTTCGAAATTTTCAAAAAATTTTCGTCCGGAACGCCAGGGTAAACGTCAAATTTTTGGCGCACACCCAATGTTAGTCCCCCACCCCCCCCCCCCCCCGAAATCGTAATAAAACTGATTTAGTACCTCATATATTCTCTATAAATAAGTTTACCTAATTATTCTATATTTATAAAAAATAATATTTTTAGGATTCCAATTTCGATGCAGATTTTAAAGTTTACTTTTCTTCTTATGGCAAGACTTCTTTAAATTTAAATGAATTTCCTGTTGAAAATAAATTAAAAATTCATCATCTCAATAAGGATAATTTTGATTATTTTGTATTTTACACGGATGATGGAAAGGGGAAAAAAGAAGTTCCCGAAGCAAGAAATAAATTTATTGATTATTGTGATATATTTAAAGAGGGTACAGTTATCTATGTGAAGAATGTTTCTGGAAATAATGCTTAATTTTTTTTTTTTGAAATTTTTTGAGAATATTTTACTATTGGAGTTCGCTCATAGAGGGCGGGAGGGGACTGAAAAATTGTATTTTAAATTGTAAAGCGTATAGCATTTAATTCCTAAGGCTATGCAGTAGACTGCGTGGTGTAATGGATAACACATCAGTCCGGTCTACTGAAGATCTGGTTCGCTCCCGGCCGCCGAATAACCTTTTGCACTAGCTAAAGGAGAGAAATAGCTATAGCCCAGCTGCTTTATTGAGGTTTATATTAAATTGGGAGATTAGGTATACCAACTAACCTTTGAAAAACGTATCTCAAAGGGATTAGCATCAAAATATTGGGTATGTCCATAAGTGAGGTCTGACTTCATAAATTTTTAAATTTAAAAGATTTGATTAAAAATATTTTTAACTGAAAAAATATAATTATAAATTTAAATTTTACATAAAAAAATATCAAATAAAATAAATAACCATCAATAAAAATCCAAGAAACCCTAAAGAAACTAAAGAAATTACTAGCCAAAGAATTAATGCAGAACCACCACAACAAAATTCGCAACAAGTATCCCCAATTCTGTCTTCCCCCATTTGGGCTAATAAAAGTTTTTGTTGTTTCTTTTCAAAACGTTCTGATTCCTTTAATATTTTTTTAATTCTGATTTTTATAAAATCAAAATATTTACTTTAACTGCTTGTTTGAATGATTTAAAGTCTAACATTTGTGGAAAATAATTATTAGAGTTTTGTTGATTATTTGTTGCTGTATAATAAAAAGGTGGTGGTGGAGGAGGAGCTATTGGATTGTACCAAATAGGTTGTGAAGGTGCTGTCATCTTTAAAAAAATTTTAATGTCATCAAATTATAATCAAATCTCGTTCTCACTCGGTCTACCTTCAATTTTTAAATTTGGTGTCTCACTTAAGTATCCCTCTAAAGATTTCCAAATTTAATAATTTCCAGATCTAATAGCGTCAAAACTAATTTATCAGGTATACTTATAAACGAGTACTCGAGATGTTTACAGACGAGATCAGAACGTGTTGAAAATGTTTAAATAGATTTCAAAGATAACAACACCTTCACAAACCTATTTTTACATTAGAAAACACAATTTCAACTGTGTTCATAAACTATAGCCTTACCTAGAATTCCGGATTTTATTGAAGAGATGCCTAGTGGTAAATCTCCCAGTTTTTAAACGATGATGTAAAAAGAAACTTTTAAATAACCTAACTAGATACATAAAATACAATATTATTGGTAAATTATATGTATAAGGAAAGAATTACAATTTACGATATAAAAAATTAGAACATAATTTTTATGTGAACTCGCTAGAAAAATTTGCGGAAATAATGTTTTGTGCCGTTCTTTCTTATATTAAAATTTTCAGTAATTTATTTTAATTATAAAAGCCGACTGATTTCATAATTACCGACTCACAATCAACTTTACAACAATCAACAACCAATCTTCACAACAACAACAATGGCGGTCCAAGTCGTCTGTTAATGAACGGCAACCCTGAGGTATTTAATCTTTTTCTCTTCTTTAAATCTTTTCTTTTCTCCTTAAATCATTCCTCTAATCAAAAACATTTTTTTCTTTTTTAAGGTCCGCTTCGCCTTCAAGCTCAAGTCCAGCAATAACGAGCACTACCGAGTCAACCCAGTTTTCGGATTCGTGGAGCCCGGCGCCGCTGCAGAGGTCGAAGTGATCCGCTACCCAGGCCCTCCTAAAGGCGACGACAAGCTCGAGATCTGCTTCCGGCGGGTCCCCATGGATGTGGGGGACGCCAACGCATCTTCCCTCCTGGATCTTCTGGCGAGTTCAAGGTCGACGTTCCTATGGCTGCTGCATGAGTATGACTGCGGGACGATGGATATAGATGAACACAGAAGGATGCTGATGTGAATAGGACCACCCAAAATATATAATCATAAATTGTGTATATTTCTTCCCTATATAATGTAGCAATAAATTGTATTTTTATGTATTTGGTAAAGTTGTTTGAAAGTTTTTTTAAATAGAACTTTTCGTTTATCGATTATAAACTGTGAGATTTACCACTAGGCATCCCTTTAATTATACCCAGAATTCTGGGTAAAATTATCACTTATGAACACAGCTAAAATAGGTTTTCTAATGTAAAAATAGGTTGAGAAGGGGTAGTCATCTTTAAAGCATATTTAAATAGCTTCTCGTTTGTATAACAATCGAGTATTCATTTCGTTTATACATTCGATTTTTAAATTAGTTTAAAGCTAGAAGAAAGTGTCCTTCACTTACTCGAGATATAATTTGTCTGAAAGAAAAGCTTCCGAAAATTCTTGAGAAAACAACCACTTTTCCTTTCTTTTTTACCTGTAAAGCAGCTGCTTCAGACGGTAAAATCATCGAATGTCTATTTTGTAATGTTGGTGGTTGTTGTTGTCCATCAAAAATAACTAATTG